TTCATCTCAAAATCAAGGAAGTGGAGACGCAACCTGCTGGACACAAAGTCGAGAAGATGAGCAGATGTGGGCTCAGACCATCATCTGGTTCAAGGAACCATTATGGTGAAGCTGAAATCCATGAAAACAAATAGAGACAGACCACAATTCAAGTTCAAAATTCAGAAACTGAAGGACAAAACTACAAGGGATGCCTTCACTACAGATCAGATCAGCGAAAAGTCAGAGACACTAAGTGGTATCACTGGGGAAACCTGCGCGGAAGAACATCGAAACTCTCTGAAGGTGACGTTCAAGGAAGGAAAGAAGAGACAATAGAAGGAATGGCTGTCAACGGACACCTGGAAGCTAATAGAATGGCGTCGAGGAGGGTGGTGAAAGAGATGACTCAATGCAAAGATGGACAACAGAAGGAGAATGAGAACCTGGGTCCAATATATACTGCACTGAATAAAGCAGTACAGAGTGCTAGAAAAGACAAACGACAACTTTATGACACACTGGCAACTGAAACAGAACAGGCCGAAGGCAAAAGTGATCTCGGGACATTATATATCAAGGAATCCTGACTGCGATCAAGCTACTGAAGTCCGGGAAGGCAGGACCAGACGGCATCCCTCCCAAAGCACTGAAGATGGCCCCAGATATTACGGCAGATGTTCTTACTCCATTACTGCAAAACATTTGGAAAGAAGGGAAGGTGTCTACTGATTGGAAGAGAGGCCGGCTACATTGTGAAACTATCAAAAAAGAGTGACCTAATTTGGCCTCTGCAAGAACTGGCGTGGAATAATGCTTTTGTCCGTACCAAGATAAATACTAGTTCGCATCATCCTGGAGAGAATAAGGGATGCACTAGATGCAAAACTCCGTCAGCCGGGAAAAGCTGGATTCAAGAAGGGCAAATCATGTTATCATCAAACAGCAACTCTACGCATCGTCATCATAGAACAAAGCATAGAATGGCGGTCAAACCTCAACCTCAACTTCATCGACTTCGGAAAGGCCTTCGACAGACAGCGTTAATCAAGAAGTAATTTAGCAACTGCCTCAACTTTACGGCGCACCTCAAGTCCTTGTCAACGTCATTCAACAGCTGGCTACCTGATAATGTCACATGTCAAGTAATCCATAACGGAAAACTCAGCGGGGTGTTCGAAGTGAACACATGAGTCAGACGGGACTGACTATTATCACTGATGGTTTTCTTAACTGTGATGGACTAGATTATGAGTCAGAATGTTGGAAGCGAGGATTCAGAAATACGCTGGACTACCGATGAGAAGACTGTAGATCTGGATTTCTCGCGCAGATGATATATGCCTAGTGTCACACAAACTCGAAGACTTGCAAGCGAAAACCAACAAACTGGCTGAAGAGGCATTCGGCGAAGACAGGATTCCAAGTGAACATTTAGACGGCTGAGGTGATGAAGATGACCAACCAACGGCAACAACAACCAGCACCAATCACCATCAAAGGGATAGATGTAACAGATTTTGCCTCCTTCACTTATCTGGGAAGCATCGTTTCAACGACAGGCGAAACGCACGAAGATGTCAAAGTCAGAATCGGAAAGGCAAGATACGCTTTCATCACAAAAGACCTGGTTTTTTGTTAATGCGAAGACAATACCTCTGTATTTCCTGATGTGTTGCACTCACTGACAATCTAGCAGATTTTTCCAATTGTGCACAGAAATGATTGTATATAAGTGAAAAGGCTGGGATTAACATTTATCAAGTGTATGTATAATCTCCAGCGAACATGTAAAGCATACCTTGCTACCGCCGGTAAATTGTGACTGAATTATATGGTTCTATTTCTGTAACAATTTGATGATGCCTGTAAACTGGCGTCCCTCATGTACTGTACTATGAGAATAAATTTATTTTATTTATCAATCTGAAACCGGTATGGAAATCTTCCGTTCTCACTCAGCCAGCATAAGGAATAAGATTCACATTTTCAACACCAATGTGAAGTAGCTCATTGCTTCTATGCGGGACGGAAAATTGCACTGAGTGTCGCGGAAAGAGTTTCCAACAGGCCACTGCAGGTTTTCATCAACAGCTGCCTTCGCTGGCTGGCTCCATAATAATAATAATAATGCACTCTCATTTTTTTACATGAGGGACGCCAGTTCATATGGCCAGCCAGAAACAATGAGCAACAAGAAACTATGGGAACAAACCAACCAGGAGCCGATCGCTCAACGAATATGCGGGAGAAAATGGAGATGGGTGGATTGGGCATAGGCTGTGGAGGCCGTCTAATGACATCTTGTGCAATGCAAGCAATCGCTCGAGTGGAATCCCAATGGGAAGCGATGAATGAGTTGTTGGTAGGAGGGTGATATGGGGGAGATCGTGTGAGGAAGAGGTGAGAGAGTTTGGTCAATCGTTGACCTAGCTAGAGAGGACAACAGAAAACAGAACAAAGTGGAGATGTGTTGTTGAAGCCCTATGTTCCACACGGAACGAAAGGGAATAATAATAAATATAATAATACATCATGTTTACCCACAAGTATTTATAGGTATCCAGGAATCCCTTTTAAGTCAATTAACCCACATTTTTAATATGGAACTCACTGAGAGAGATAAGGTTTTTCAGTGTTCTTGATTTAGATTGGGTTGTTGATATTAATTTGTTGGCTGATATTTTGTAACGTTGCACGTACATACTTTTTGTGATTCCAAGCACAAAAATAACTGTAAATGGAAGCTAAGGTGAATGAAAATTATTGTAACACATTACAATGATGGAAAAAGAGACTTTGTTGTTTTAGCCGCCTACTTCTAATTTACTTGACTTCGTCCTTGACCTTAACAGTGAGAACGAGAATAACTGGGAAACAGGTACTTCCAAAAAAACACAGTAATTATTAGGTTAATGTTGTTGGAGTCCATCACAAGTAATTATAACGTGATTTGTGGTAAACGATTCGTATAAATAATGTGAAAAACATGATATTGTCACTATAAACCACATTGACCGATGTGGGGACCGGACCTCAGACCACTTAAGGCGGGGTTGGCGAGCCTTCTACCGCTGAACCACTTACGCTCACATTGAATTTGAGGAATCGGACTGCGTTTTACCTACTTATGAGTTATCTATATGCTTAGCAATAATATTATATCCCACCAGGAATCATGAGGACTCTATAGAGTAAACCTATAGGTTTACTAATTCATATGAAATGAAAGAAACTAAATAACATTGAAACAGAGTATGATGAAAAAGTTTAGTTTTCATGTAACTAGTCTTTACACCGACATACCAGTCATTATGACCCTGAGAGCATTTAAAAAAGAACTAACTGTTCAGCCCAAACTTATTCATAGGACAAAGCTACCCATTGAAGAAATCACTTTAGGAATTCAGTAATGCCTCACTTCTGCTATCTTCCAAATCCAGGGCGAAAATATACCGACAAACAGAAGGGGTAGCATTAATGGGATAACCAATGTCCTCAACTGTAGCAGGTATCTTTATTGATTGTTGAGAAAATATGGCTAGTGACACATTTAGTTCTAATTCGAAGATATAGTGGTGATATGCAGATAACTCTTTCACAGTGTTAAGAACAGAACATATCTCTAGTTTCTTCACGCTTATAAACTCAATAGTAGAGGGAATAAAATTTACGTTTGAATCTGAAAATGAACAAGGAGAATTAGCTATGTTAGATTGTAAAATAAAACGAACAGAAGAAGGCAAACTATACACTAGCTTTTACAAAAAGCCAACGCCCTCTTAACTCATCCATTATCTGTAAAGGCAGACTTAATTAATTAATTAAGTGCCTAACAAACCGACCAATAGCTTTGAGCAGTACATCGAAATACAGGTGGAAGAAGCGTTGGTGCTGAGTAGCTATCCCATAAAGTCCATTAGGAAGATCACAGAAAATGAAAAATAGTAATAGAATTATTGATGATAACATGAGTAAGAAAGGATTTAAGACATTTACAGTTTTACCATATAAGGAAGGGACATCTGAAACCCTACGTGGAATTCTTAGTAGAGTAGGAACTCACTTGGGGACAAGCTCTGTAGGTTAAAAGACCTTACTGACCCAATTAGACAAAATAATATAATATACAAAATACCTTGCAGCGACTGTGAGATCAACTACATAGGTCATATCAGTAGAACAGGGGTAATAGGATTATCGGAACCTAAGAATTTGGTTAAGCGTAGAATGATTGATCCCACGAAGACGAATAATTTGAAAAAAAACCCAGCAGTTACAGTGTATGCACTAGCACAATATGATTGAACAAAGTTAAAGTCCTAAGAAGTAATGTAGGTAGGCAGTGAGAGAGGTTGATTACTGAATTTTTGTTCATCGAATTCACATCTAGTGCATGCAATAGGAATGAGTCATCACCACCTCCAGAGGTGCAGAAAATATTACTACTACATAAATAAAAATTTAAAAGGTGTATGTCTTGTTATGATTATGAGCAATAAAGTATTCGTGAAACGTCATTAAATAGTACTTTATCACTGTGTGATTTTATCAAGTTGGTTCTGTGATGGAATTGATGTGTGCTATGAGTATTATTAAATACTTCATGAATATTATTTAGATCAATATTTTCATCGGTAGGGATGAAAATATCATCCACATATTGCTTAAACATTTTGAATCAATATATAGCTTGTTGTATAGTACTCGATTCTAAGTATACCATTAAACAGTCGGGAAGTAATCGACCAAGTGGACACCCCACGGCTACTCTTTCTGTCGATATATATTTATACAGGAATTGGACATTTCGAGTGCGTGTTATTATAAAATATACCTTTATTTCCATGACCTTATAAACACTATATAATTGTAGAGCTTTGAAGTGAACTTACGGAAGAATATTCTTTCCTGATATATGTATTTTTAAAGTACAAATGATTGACTGTTATAATATGCTGTCAATCGTAATAATAAATATACCTTTGTGCACTCTTATTTCAGTGCCGTTATGCATTATTCGTGCCTGAGTTTATTCGAATATGCCTTTCGTAACTATGTGGATTTTTGTTGTTAGAACAGACAAGCAGCAAAGTACCTTGGTTAAGCTTGTACATATTCAGTGCCTCCAATTTCGCCTGAAAGCAGTACTACATTAGCCTAAAATATAAAATTTTACTGTGTTACTCAGCTGTTATTATATTAAATCTGCCTACTTTTGTTTATTTCGCCTATGTCTAATTAATTTCAGTACAGTGACTTCTTTGCATTTCATTTAAACAGAGCATTTACTATTGGAACACTCATGGAGATTTGTTGCTTGTCTGCTGGAGCCAGTGATTTTCCACTTGAGGATCGGTGTCATCTATTTTGCAGAATCATGAAGCTGTTCATGTATTTTACCGGTCAGTTTCCAGATTTATCGCTTCTGATCCCTCAAAATGGACCGAAAACAGAACTGCATTTAGTAGGTTACGTTACTTGGTCATACCTTTTATTTTTTCCAGAATAACTTGCACCCAAAACAACTAAAAGTTTTACAATCATTGCTTGAAATTGAATCTCATCTATTTGCGTCTAAATCAGAGTCTATTCTATATTTCCTCATCATGATGGGTGGTCTACCAAATAATCCAAAACATGCATTTCTTGTTGATCTTAGTCACTTTTACCCTCGTACTACAGATATTAAGAAAACAGAAACAGTTATATTCAGAGAATTTTTTGAATCCCTTATGAAAATTCCATTTTTTGATAATCTTTTTGAGTGTTTTGAACCCACACGCACCTACTTATATATTTGTGCATCAAAGGATTTCTCTTCATCCTGGTTTCTACCTCGATTGCAATTTCGCCTACCTCGAATATGTCCTGTTTATGTAGTGAAAGTTGTTCCTGATGTTTCACAATCGTTTCCAGTCAGTGAGGTGACTGAAAGTTCACTTACACATCAAGAATTACACAGAGTCTTGTATGAATTACCATCCGAATTACGATGGTATGCTTCTCCGCTTGTTCTTAATGGTGTTAAGCCATGTTGAACTTTGTGTACACATAAATAGCACGAAAAATTTGTATGCTGTACAACAGTAATGTATCGAGAATTTTAAAATCATAGTCGTTGTACATAATCTTGTTCATTATGTCGTTAATGTATATATTCAGTTAAATTGTACTGTAAACTAAATCTTTATAAATATACGCGCAAATATATATCCTTAATAATATTAATAGTTAACAGTTATTTCTGACATAATCCTGGACTTGATGGAATGAATATTCAGTTTTACTGGGGGCAAAATATATCATGCTTGTCCTACAATGAATCAATCGTAGTTTGGGTAATTTCATGGTATAGTCTAACTCTTCGGCATTAGGGAGGTTTAAATCACGTGAATTTCATGCTTCTTGCGGATGTGTTATATTGAATGCTACTTAGTGTGAAATCTATGATCAGGGTTTGATACCACTTAACTTTCAGTACCTAAAAATAATTACACTCCTTTGCTTGTCAGTATTTTGTATTATTATATTATTATTGTTCCCTTGGGTTCCTAGTGGAACATAGGGCTTCAACTGCACGTCTCCACTTGCTTCTGTCTTCTGCTGTTCTTTTCACTTGCGTCCATGTTATTCCATACTGTTTCATCTCCTCCTCACACGATCTCCTCCATGTCACCCTTGGACGTCCCACTCGCCGCTTCCCTTTCGGGTTCCACTCGAGGGCTTGACGCGCGATGTCACTCAACGGCCTCCTCAGCGAGTGTCCAATCCATCTCCACTTCCTCCTGCATATTTGTTGGGCGATTGGTTCCTGTTTCGTTTGTTCCCATAGCTTCTTGTTTGTGATTCTTTCTGGCCATCTAATCTTCAGTATGGAGCGAAGACAGTTGTTGATAAAGGTCTGCAACCTGTTGAAAATATTCTTGGTGACCCGCCAAGTTTCTGATCCGTAAAGCAAAATTGACTTGACGTTTGTATTGAAAATCCGAATTTTGTTGTTGATACTGAGTGACGAAGATTTCCAGATTGGTTTCAGGTTGATGAATGTGTTTCTCGCCTTCCCGATTCTCGATTTGACATCCTCGTCCGTTCCTCCTGTGGTTGAGACAATGCTCCCCAGATAAGTGAAAGAAGTAACCTCTTTCAAATCCCTCCCGTTGATGGTGATTGGCACTGGATGTTGCTGCTGTTGTTGGTTGGTTATTTTCATAACCTCCGTCTTGTCTATGTTCACCTGGAGTCCTGTCTTTGCTGCTTCTTCGACCAGTTTGTCGGTTTTTGCTTGTAAGTCTTCGATTTTGTGTGACATCAAACATAAATCATCCGCAAAATCCAGGTCTTCTAGGTTCTTCACGTCGGTCCAGGATATCCCTGTCTTCTCGTTTCCCACTGTCTGACGCATAATCCAGTCCACCACAAGTCAGTTTTGTAGTGCTGTTATATCCGATTCTTTAGTTAGCCGTAATGTATATGATCATGTTTTACTGTGTTGTTGGTGTAACTTTTATTGTGTTATTAACTAGAACTCAGTTACCTGAAGCGTAGGCATAATTACCGCCGTTTTACAACTGCCATATTTCTTGGCCTGAAGGAATTCGATTCTGTCGACTGTGTGACCATGTTTTGCAGTAAAGCGAGTGTCGGGAAAGTACATATCACTAATCAAGGCACTCTACTCTAGTTTACACAGCCGTGTAAGAGTTTACGGAAAGTTGTCATCTGAAGTGATGACAAGTCTCTGTCCTACTATCCCTACTTCTGTTTAGTTCCATCATAGATGTACCAATGGAAGTGACTTTAAGTAACTTCAGCGACTTAGGAATTGATTTGTTACTAGGGTATAGTCTTGTGGACTTAAAGTATGCGGATGATATAGTCCTCCCTCCTGGGTGAAGACGCTAACAAAATGCAGAGTCTTCTGAAGACCATGAGCAGCAATCTTCGAATGCTTGGCATGCGATTCGCTCCTGTCAAATGTAAGATGATACCACAGGGCTGAACTACATCGACTCTTAGGTTAAAGATAGGGAGTGAAGTGGTAGAGCGTGTTGTTGACCACTTTACTTATTTGGGAAGTCGCACTTTATAAAGTGGGACCCCTGTTTATTGTACCTACTTGTTGTATCCTCACGAAGCTGAGAGAAGGAGTGCAGTTTTTAACCACTTACCACCAGGATTACGAGTCCCCTGAAAAGAGCTGTGGAAACACTTCAAGTCTTGAAAGGAAAAATGGTATATAAAATCATTTTGACGGTAGACAATGATAGGAGTTTGCCTCTTTACATTGCTATTGGTTATTCGATGTTAAATCAAAGCCTGAAACGGTGATCCTATTATTATTATTGTTCCCTTGGGTCCTGAGTTGAACATAGGTCTTCAACAACACATCTTCACTTCGTCCTATTCTATGCGGTTCTCTTAAGCTGGTCCCATGATTGCCCATAGTCTCCAAAGTCCTATTCGCACAATCTCCATGTTACCCTCGGACACCCTACGGCTCATTTCCCGTTCAGGTTGCACCAGAGTGACGGCCCGGCGCATGGTGTCAGTCGATTTTCTCCTCAGCGTGTTTCCGATTCATCTCCATTTCGTTCTGCACATTTTTTTGGCAATAGGTTCTTGGTTTTAGAATTTGTTGTCGCTAATCCTTTCTGGCTGGCCATTTGATCTTCAGTACAGAGCAAAGACAGCTGTTGATGAAACTATGTAATCCGTTGGAAATGCTTTTCGTGACGCGTGTGCCAAGTTTCTGACGCATATAGGAGCACTGATTTAACAATGGTGTCGAAAATCCGAAATTTTTCTTTTCTTTGAGTGCTAAAGACTTCAAAACTCATTCCAAAGTGAAGGTGTACCATGCCTTTGTAATTCTGGCTCTGACGTCCTCATCCGCTTCGCCTGTATTTGAAAAGATGCTGTCTAGATAACTGAAGGAAGTGATCTCTTTCAAATTTCTCCCGTTAATAGTGACTGGTACTGGTTGTTTTTGTTGATTGGTTATTTTCATCACTCCCGTATTCTCTATGTCTGCTGCTTCTTCAGTCAATTCGATGATTTTCGCCTATAAGTCTTCGAGTTTGTGTGACATCAGACATAAATCATCCGCACAAACCAGATCTTCTAGAGTCTTCTTATCGGGCAAACGCATTTCTGTCTTCTCGCTCCCCACAATATTCCTCATGACCTTATTCATCACATATAGGAATATCATTGGTGATAATAGGTAGCCAGTTTTGTCTTACTCTTGTATTCACTTCGAACACCTCGCTGAGTTTTCCGTTGTAGATCGCCTGACACGTGGCACTACCATATAGCCAGCTGTTGAATTAGGTGGATAAAGATGTGGGGTACTGCACACCATAGTGTTAAAGTGGTCCCCAGATTACTTCGTAGTCAACACTGTCAAAGGGTTTCATAGTCAATGCCTGAAAAAGTGGTCTTATAAGAACACCTTACGTAGTTCAAATAGTACCTCTGCCTTCATGTAAATTAGGAAATAGTACCAAGATGGAAGTTAAAAATTTTGCACCCATTTTATAAGTTAGTTACCGTTATATTAATGTTATATCTGCAAATGAACTGTTTCTTTGATTATTTCTACCGTAGGTTTTAATCACTTTGATAAATTGCTTGTCATTGTTTGAGATTGTTGTCTATCTCTATGGTTTTGAATTGTACTGTGGTTCGTTTCAAAAAAGAATACTGGCTGGTTTGGCTTGATAACTCCTTTGAAACCTTGCTGTTTCTGCGTACTTTTATATTTTTCTGCATTTCGAGTGAAACATATGGCTTCAAAACTGCGCAGTAGCAGTGGCATTTATTTTTTTACGGAATAGGGTTGCTTACCTGACGCCCAACCTTCCCTCTTTACCGGACGTACTGCCGGATAAGTGAGGTGTAGGAGTGTGCCGGCCGGGGATCGAACCCGGGACCACGTGGGGCGTGGTTGGTGAGTATCCTACCTCTTAACTACAGTGATATGTATACATATACATATATTCAATATAGTAATGAACTGTTATGAATAACCATCACGCTTACTCCTTCTCAACTTCGTCAGTGTATGGAGTTGTAGTCAGTATGACACCAGGCACTACTCAATAGGATCCTTATCATCTATAAGATGTTATGTAAAAAAATCAAATTAAAATAAGAATTTCCTGGCAAATCAGACCAACTGCAATGCAAGATGGATTTCATCAATTAAATGACTAGCTGGGGGTTCAAACATTTAGGTCATTTTTGGACTCATAGTTTAGGCATGGTTGCTGCACATTGGATAATGGGGATGTTCTTAAATTACGACCTATTTCTAGTCGGTAGAAACTTCTGGTGCAATTATCGCTGTTTTTTCTTAACCTTTCGTCTCACGCACTCAAACGTGTACTGAATTATATAATATTGCATACGATTACTTGCATTATCATCTTAATGTATATTTCCTTTGCGATTTAGTATCAGCTGTATTCGAAGATCAGTCATTATTTTGAACAGGTATATATGAATAGATTGACCATACTTTACTTCTTAATGGAATGTCATATCAAGTAGGATTTGCAACTGTTTACCTAATTTTCAAGAAAGTAGACAGACTTTGGTTGTGCTTGCAAGACGCTCGTATCCATGCAAAGTATCTTAAAGTTAGCTGTTAATTTGATCTGAGTATTTAGTAAAGTAACTTTTTTTTGAATTTTTTGTATAAGATGAGATGAAAGTAGTTAAACGGTTACCTACATTGTTATATATTAGCGTGAAATAATAATATTGGTACATCACTTTAAAATCAGCGTACTTATTTGCATGTAAAGATTATCCGCATGTTAGTAACCTACGATTTCCCGACCGAAAGCTGCTACCTTGACGTGGTGGTCGGGCTTGAACACCGCAATGACCCAACAAGCTATACTGGCTGGAACTTATGTTCCTGTAGGTCTTACCATGCCAGAAAGGTTGTTTGGATAGCGGTTAGACTAAAAGCAGTTACCCAATCCAATCTTATGACTTCAAACAAATCACAAAATATCATGCCGGATCGGTCGGGGCCCGGATTAACAACGACCGCGCTTTCTGCTGCCGTGTCACAGGGCAGAAGTGATAAATGTGCTACTGAGACACAACAAATAAAAAAGAACAAACAAAAACAGGCCGTGTGTGACCGGACTCAAGCAGTTGTCCCCTGGGCTCTGCGGTCACGCAACCAACTTCCACGGTGTGGG